ATCTGATTAGTCCCTCATGCCACAGCACACAGAATCACAGATCTGAGAAGGAAAATAGAGACCAGTAGGTTCAGAAAGAAAGACTGAGAAGGGAGCATGCCCAATCACATCAGCTAGATCTGTGTGCTGGAATCAAGTGGTGCATCTCCTTCAGATATTCAACTACTCTTGAGCTATGTGGACGTGGAAGTATTAAAAGATCAGCAAAGACATTGAAGAAGAAAGGAAACTTATGAAGTCTGTGCTGATCCTTCAAAAAGCAGCTTCTCTTTTTCAATTTTCACAGAATGATCTTGTTTTTCTTAAGCATCAGGGTACAATAAATTTGATACAAAACCAGTGAAATTGCATCTCACTTTACAGTCTTTTTTTGCCAGGATTCAAAATTTCTTCTTCAAAAGAATGGAAAAAGTTACTAATTAAAGCTAAGCTGAAGGCAGAATGCCTGATTTTTGGCACATCCCAAACAAGGAAAGGATGTAAATCTAAAGATTCCTCCAGTCTACTAAAAAAAAAGAGAATACAATAGTTAACATCTAAATGGCAGATATTTTTTCAGTGATAACATTAAAAGGATTATCCTAAAACAAATTACTCTTAATTGGTTTACAGAGAAAAATATGAATATGGTAGGAATTCACTGAGGCAAACAGAAGTGCATATTTTATGAATAAGTACTGCGGTCATCCATTTGTTACTTCAAAATAAAAAACAAACAACATTTGCATAACAAAACTGTTTACATATCTTAATGAAAATGTGTCATTATCTCCTCCTGGCTTTTATATGACAGTCAGCATACGTCTTAGGTCAAATATATTGAGTTTTATACCATCTATTGCTTCAACAGCTTTGATATTTTAAGTAATCCACATTAGCATGCAGAATCAACAAGAATCCTTGAGTGCAGTTATTAGTATTTTAAAGAGGTCAAAATTATGCAGATCTACCAGAAAGAAATAATGCAGAACTGATCACTCTATTGATTCTGAAAACATGAGACACTAGCCTCACCATTCTACAAATCAATTCTGCTGGAAGCTAAAGGATTAGACTGACGTGTATTTCCCAAGTTACATCTGTCAGAAGTTTAAAAAAGCAACCAGCCCACTGAGCAAGAACTGGCACTTTGGGAAATGGCTTAAATAGCATTGAGCTCTCAGCTAGCAGTTTTATGCTTATTACATATTCGAATAGACTCAAGAGTCTATTTCTTGTCACCTCCACATTTGACTTAAAGATAAAAATTAGGGGGGAAAAAAAGGAAAAAAGAAAAAAACAAACCTTGTATTGCAAATTTCTCAGTATACCAGAGATTTCAGGATATTACTGCTATGGACAGTAAAAGCACGGGAGCACAGTACTGTTTCAACCCTAAGTAACAAAGACAAACAGGAGGAAGGGAGGAGGGGAGCCCACAGGGGCACTGCCTCTGCCCAAGTCTCATCCTTCCCTCCTAGAATCTCAGACTTACGGCTTTTCCATTCTTCTGATTGCAATTTCCACCTCAGCCACATTTTACTGATAGTGTGCCTAACGCTCCTTATGCAAACACATCTACTCAAGGCATTACTTTGCTTGTGCGTAAAAGTATGACTTAGGAGACCTTCAACAAATAAAAGTCTTACATCAGACTGGGCCATATACTTTATGTTAAACTGCAGTTGTTTTCAGACTTTTTTTAAAAAACAAATCCAATCTTCTGGGCCCTCAAAATTCTCCAGTGGAAGAACTCAAAAACTACAGATTTGACAGATAAGAAACGGTGCATACATCCTTTAGAGATAACCCACACAAAACCAACCTTCTACTGTATCCTGCTTTATTTCATGAAACCTACAGAAAAGCTAGTCCAACTGCCCGACCAATTCAGGGCTGACCAAACGCTTGGTAAATACATTGTAATTACTTGACCAAAGGCTGTAGATATACACACCCAGTAAGCACCAAGTGCAGAGTACGAAACCTCCTTCCTTCAGGCAGTTTCCCCTTCCTATGCCAGAGCACTTGCAAGCCAAGCACTGCAGTAGAGCTAGCAGTCTGCTTCTGCCTTAGGACTACATTTTCCCAGATCAGACTCCTGAGCACCTGTGCCTTGACAGCCAGCTGCATCCGTCCTTGGATAGCATGGGGGCAGATGGGAACGGGGAAGCAGATGGACTCAGGCATGGCAGCAATGCTGTACTAAGGCTGCACAAATGCATTAGCAGGAAGTAGCACTTTGAAGACTAACCTCAAAGTTCCCATGATTAGCGCAGGGCTCACAATACATCCTTGTCAAAGGACACAGCTTGATATTCACAGCTCAGCATATGCATGTTGCTGCCCTGTGACCAGACACTCAGCTCAACCTCATGGCTTGACACTGAGATCTGCTACAGCATCTCTGATGTAACACTGGAGTTTTGGATGAGCAGCCATGTGACAGCCTCACAGCCCCAGGAGACCCACTGCTGATGAGCTGCTTATCAAGACAGATCCAGCTACTGGTGCTTTACTTTTCCACTTTTCTAATAGCAGGCATGTGGAAAGAGGAAAGTCACTGGGAAAACTCCTCTGACTTTTGAGCAACTTCATTAAAACTCCATGCAATGAAGCCATTAATTGAGTCACTTTAAGAGAACCAGGCTTACCTTGAAGCACTCTATGGCTCCAATTCACAAGTCCCATGCCTCAAAAAAACTCGGCTGCTGCAAACACCAAGGTAAAGACTTTGTTGCTCTATCTCAAAACTCCAGAAACAGCAAAAATGATTTTTTTAAAAACTCATAAATCATAGTATTTAGTATGCTATATTTGAGGACAATAACGATTTTGAAAAAGAATAGTACAATTGCATTTGTAGAAATCCATTTTCTTCACTGGTCTACATTTTTATCCTTACAGACAGAAATTTAGCTTTGTTAAATGATTCATTTTTATATTTCATTTACAGAAAAAGACTACAGAACACGTATGTACAAACTGTCATAGACGAGAAACAAATTAAATAGAAGGCAATGTAATTAATCTCTGAAATCTTGGGAAGAAATTTCAACCACAGCTGAAAACATACAAGTTTCTTTGGTGAAGAAATACTACCTTCACCACTTCTTTCAATGAAAAGAACAAACAAAGACAATGTGCATATTCTGCACAACTGAAAAAGTGTCATCCCGTGTAAACACTAAAATCCAGGAGGGTTGCCCAAGGCAAATCAGAACAGAATTCTGTCCAAAGACTGAAAAATGTTGCCTTCATTTAATAAAATTAATTATTAGACTTAATGCTGTTGAAGTCATGAAATTCCCAGGAGCTGAATTCTCCATGTAATATAATTAAATAAAAATATTTTTTAAAAAGTGCAACACGGGCACCTAGAATGTGGTTTTCCATGCCCTGACATCCCAAAGCATGTCATTTGCCCAAAAGACTGGTGACTGGGAAAGGAAGCACAGTTAAGTATCATTAAATACTATTATTAGCTTTTTAGCAAGGCTAATTATAAGACTGCCAACCCAAAATGTCATGGTGATTTCTCATCTAATCATCTAGCACCTAGGAAATGAATGGAAACTATCAATCCATTTTTCTGACACATATTAGGAAAAACTGATGCTCAACATAAATCTGACATAATTTTTATAACTTCCCGAGCCAAACAAAGGAAATAGAATTAAAAGCAAAACAAACATCACAGGCCAACAAAAGGAAAACATCACCAACAACCAGTAAAAAATCTCTTCCCTTTCAAATCTCAACAGCATTTGGGGGTTCAAAAGAGCAAACAAACAAGAAAATAAAATGGTAAAGTACTTGACAGTAAAATCAAAAGAACAACAAAACCAAAAGACTACATGACCTGTTTTGCCAAATGATGAGGTTCAATCCCTAGCAAAAAAACCCCAACCAAACAAAAAAACTGAACAAAGTCTCAAATACTAAGGCTGATCCTCTAAAAGGTTTTATGTTGGATACCATCTGAGACCTCATGGTGCTACAATGCAGAAATTGTGTCTGGGATTACCATAGCATCACCATGATGAAGCTTTTTATCTTCCTAGGTTTTTCATATTTTCCTGAAAATATAATCTGTGAAACAAATAATTACTATCTTAAAGAGCCTCTTCTTATTGTATTTTTTTATTATTCTAATGCTTATAGTTGATCAAAATAAACTCTTTACAAGGACTTTATGTGTAACTATGCATGCACCTGGTGAGTCTATATATGATCCACCTCCAATGGTTAAATATTCCCCTCTCACTCTTTGCTCCACAGTATGGTCAGGGATCACTAAATAATGCTAATGCCCTCCTTATCTGACAACACAACGATACCCACAACAACTTGAACGGAAGACATATCACTGATTTTCCCTTTTAGCTGTTTTCAAAAAAAAAGAAAATGCAAAGAAAAATCAATGAAATAAATCTCTTTTTAGACACACCTGTTTAGAACTGATTGATAGAAGATCACGTTCAATTAGAGACACATAGGTTTCGTATGCACACACATCAGTAACTGTGACATATGGAGACAACCAAATCAAGTATAACTGCTCCCTGTTCCTTGCATATATCAGTTACTTTCAAAAACCAAAACTGACAGAGGGTTTTTCTCATTAGTACCGGATGACACATCAGTAAGCGGTTGCTGACAAGCGAGTTTCCCCCAGGTTGCCCACACACCTGCAACCGACAGGCGTTTCGAAAAATAATAGATTATTTTTACCAAAAGGAGTCGCACGGGGCTGGTAATAGAAGCACTAGCAGTTACATAAACCGGAGCTAAAAATAAACTTCAGGGGCGCGGGTGGGCAGCGGTGGGGCAGGGGCTGGAGCAGGGGGCGCTGCCCACCGGGGCCCGCGGGACCGCAGCCCCGGGAGCGCGGAGGGTCCCCGCCCGCCGGGCACACCCCGCCGGCGGCGCCGCTCCGGCCGGACCCGCGGCCCGCCCTGGCCCGGTCCGGTCCAGCCCAACAAGTCGCCAGAGTGGAGGCGCGGGCGGCCCCTGCTTACCACCAGCACGGGCACTCCTGCGGTCAGCGAGTAGAGCAGCACCGGCGGCACGGCGCTGCGGTCCTCCGGGCCCGGGTAGGGCTTTCGGTACGCGCCCTCGTAGCAGAAGAAGCCTTGCACGTTGACGGTGAAGGTGTCTGTGTATTCGAAGTAATAAGCCAGCATCACGGTCCCTGCCATGATCACCATCTGGAAGTAAAGCATGCTGGTGAGCGGAGGGGGCACTCGCATGTACGTGGGCTCCGGCGGCCGCGGCAGCCCCGCTCCCCGGCGGCGCGCTCCGCCCGCTCCCCGCCGGCATCCACCGCGGGCGGGGGCGGCTCAGCGGCGGCCGGGAGCGCGGTCGGCCCGGCGGGGAGCGCGGCCAGGGCAGGGCAGGCGGGGCCCGGCCGCCGCTCCGGCACCGGCTCCAGCGCGGCCGCGGCTCGTGCGGGGGGCGGGCGGAGCGCGGCGGCGACGGGGGGCGGCTCCGCCCCGCCCCGCCCGCGGAGCGGCAGCCGCGCCGGACCCGGACCCGGCGGGGAGGAGCGGGCCGGGGGGGATCAATCTGGGAGTTCCCCGGCCCCGGGACGGCTCTGCCGTGATTAGCAAGAGAACCCCTCCTACGGGCCGGGGGCACCTGGGTCTCTCTCTATACCCACTCAGACCTGTACGACGGGCGTGCACGAGCAGAGCAGCTCCCGCAGGTGTTTGCCGGCCCGGCCCGCACCCGTCACGGAGGCGCCGGGAAGCGGCCCCGACACGGCCAACAGCCGCAGCTCGGACGGGGCCGGGCAGGCAAAGGGACCGCCACTGTTCGCCGGAGTGGTAAAGGTCTCAACATGGAATCACAGAATCAGTTAGGTTGGAAAAGACCTCTGAGATCATCGAGTGCAACCTATGACCGAACACCACCATGTCAACTAGACCACGGCACTAAGTGCCGTGTCCAGCCTTTTTTTAAACACCCACGCGTACTGTGTGTGATTCTGTGACTCTGTGATTTTGCAAGAAAATAAGTCTTAATTTTTTGCTCTGTGGTTTGCCAGACATTTTTATGTAAGCAGTTCTGGACATACTTTGTAATTATGTATTAGCAACAGAGTCCATCATATACTTCAAAAATAGATGCCTTTAAAAAAAGCAACCCAACAACTTTATTATATGTGCTTATATTAAAAAGCCTGTTAATGCATAAGACTAATCCTGAGCATAACTACTTGTTTGGATCATGAGGTATATGAAATACAACATTTGATTTTTATGATCAACTTGTGCTTCTGGCTCATTACTGACAACAGAAGTTTCCCACAGTCCCACAACTACCCACCCTCACTTCCCAAGCCTTCCAAAACCAGGAATGGAAATACATACCCTTTTGTATATGGATACCCATGAAAGCAGTTAATACTCAAAGATTTCATTTAAAGGCTATAAAGAAATTTGTAGCTGGCCATGAAGCTATCCTCGCCCAATTAACATCCTAGAGTAAGAGGAGAGTCTGCTCTGGTGCTGGGAGAAATCATACAGATACAAACACAAAAGAGTTCTACTTAAAAATACATACATAGCACACACAAAATTTAGAATAGATGATTGTGCCCAAGGCCCGATTCATCCATATGTGGGCTCCAGTTCAGATTCCCAAAGCCAACAGCTAAAAAGATAAAAAAGTTACTTAAACGTACACACCGCCACCCAAATATTATAAGGATGTGAAACAGTCTTTAAATGGACACCTTAGCCATAAAAAGTCCACTTATTTTAGATAGCAAAGGCCGTTAAAAAAAACAAATGAGATTTGATTGCTCCATTTTATAATGTGTAATCATTCTCCTAGTATTGTACTTTGGCTTTAACTGTTCATTTTCCTCCCCCTTCTAGAAAATGTTGTCCATATTCAGTGATGTTAGTCTCCATGCATTTATTTTTAATCAGCCCTTGAAGAACACACTTTTCATGCCTGGATTCCACATCCAGTCTATTTTTATGTGTTCTTAACACACTTTCCAGAAGAATCTAAATCATGTCATTCGCATTGCTCTCACCAGACTTAGCTGGATAGCTCCCTACCTTTACAGATTTTTCAGTGAGACATGAGACATCTTGTGGTGAATTCTGCCTAGCACAAAGTTTATATTCCCCATTACTTTAAAGCAGTCCAATACCCATTACCATACACATAAAAATCTTAACCCTGGAAATTGCATACAGGAACCTTCATTGTTAGGATATAAGGTCTGATCCAAAGACCAAAGTCGACAGCAGGACTGCAATAAGCACAAGACTCTTCAGTTCTGTTTGAGTGGATGCCCCAGAGAAATGCTGGTGGCATATTTCTTTCAAAAATTGCCATTGGGGAAAATCAACCTTTTTCCAGAAACCAGCTAATAAAATAGTCCTGTATTTGGCTATTACAAACCAACTTCTGCTAATAGATATAACAATGGAGATACTGCATGTAGGAATTAGAGGACATAAATAGTCTTGTTTTTACAAAACAGTTTTGAAGCTACTATCAAAATCTCTAAAGGATTTTGGAAAGAATCTCTATAACTAACTCCTTATTAAATAGCAAGGGGCTCGACAACTACAAAACTTTAAAGCAGAAGGTATCTAAAAACTTCAATGATTTTTTTTCTTTGAAAGCTCTCTAAATTTTTGACTGTTTCTGGAAAATAATGATGAACTGTGTATTTACTTTTATACAGGTAAGATATGCTCTCGCACTGTCAACCTTTCTCAGCCCCTTCTTCTTCTTCTCCTATTTAAAAGATCTTTTTTTTTCCTTAGAATAAATCTAAAAGGCTTGGTTTATTGCAGCTAATAAAGTTAAAATCTGGATTAGCTTCTGTCTAACTTGCACTAGTTGAAAAACACACGTGCACTTGATGCTTGCTACTGTTCTCTTCACAGAGGTCGACTGTTGTAATATTTAGCCTACTATTTGGTATGATAATGAAGGGTAGGAATTCATAGGTGAGACAGGTCCAAGCTCCACAAGATGCTTGGAATATTACAAAACCAGACACTAATACCAAACATTGCTATATTTTAATACTCATAACCACATTCCCGTTTTTGCAGATGGACTTTACAAGCATGGCCTGCACACCAGTGATTTGCCTGCATGAATATGTATTTAGCTGATCAAGTAAAACCAAAGATAGCCTTTTATTATAAAAGAGCACGATGTTTATCGACTGCACAGTTGAATATGCAAACATGTATTAAATCAAACAAATAGAAGCATAAGAACACAATCCCCAGTGACTAATGCAACCCACTAAATATATTCTGCAACCACAGTGATATGCAAAGACAGCGGAATGGCAGAGAAAAGCCCAGAACCAACACTTTTTGTTTCAGAAGGCTATTTGTAAAATTATCAGCTGAAACTCATATAACAGACAGACTTGTTTTGAAATTAACTTCCTTGGGAATAGTGCCACTGAGCTCAGAGCAGGAGTTCCCTTGATAGTCATCATAGATTTATCTTGGTCTCATCATTTGCTACCTAATTTTAAGTGAAATTCCAGCTCAGGAGACACAATGTACAGCAGACACAATAAGATACACTGTTTTGCAATACTTTGAAATCATGACCTGCATTACAGGAAGATATTTCCAATTCCAAACCAAATTCACTAACCTTTCATGTGCTTATAACACCACCTCTTATAGGATTTTCTAATTATAAAACACTGCTATGTCAAATGGCAGTAAAGAAACAGAGCCAACCCAACAAAACTATCTCAATTGGAAGAAAATAAGAATTGGTATCAAATCATCCCACTGTTTTTATCTTTCTGTTTACCTCTTTCATGCTTTATCTGAGTGTCAGCACCCGGAAGCCCCCTGACTGTTTCCCTGTTACATCTCCGCACTACTGCACTAACCCAGCCATTTCTGAGAGGAATATTGGATCTGTGTTGATGGCACATTAGTAGGGAAGAGACAGAATCAACTAGATATTGTTAAGAGATAACTAAAAGGATATTCTAATTGATTAATTAAATTGTTCAACAATACACAGTAATATAAGTCCTAAAGCCCAGGACATTTACTGCTAAAATTTATGTTTGTAGGACCATCATAACGCAAGACAAAAATAATTTCCTAGCAGTTGGAAGAGAATCAGCACAGAATCAGAAATGGGGGCCTGCCCTGAACACTTGCAGTAGGATTCAAACAAGTTATGCACCAAATATAAGCTTTTCGTATGGTCTTAGTAGTAGTTCACAGAGAGAGACAACTCCATTAGGTGACTAAGCTCTACTACATTAGGGCAGGATGAATCATCTTCTAAAATGTCATTCATTACATCTTAAGAAATACCAGCCTCTGATGATACCACTTGCAGTGATACAATGATACAATGACACAAGCTTTGATGACTAGCTTAGACTAGCACCCTTCTTTTAAAGGGCTCTAGTGAGATGTGATCAATTTTAAGTTTCACTTAAACACAAATAAACTAGCTCTAAAATAGGAATTATACTTTCCAAGAGTCAGAGGGGAAAAAATGTCAAATTGGTAGCAGCATAAGCATTAATATTGTATTTGTATTGCAGTATTACATAGACCTGGACCCCCTTTCCATAGAAGATAACATTTTGCCCCAGTAATCTTGGGCACCTCTACGATGCAGTGCAAGTATATGAGAGAGTGAGCAGATGGAGATGAAATAAATGAGGAGGAGGACAAGGCAACAATGAAATGATTGAGTTTGATATAATGAGTAGCAGTCACAGCATATTAGTTGACTAGTCAGTGTTTACATCAATAATACACTTAATCCTCTTAAAACTGCTTGCTGTATTCAAATTAAGAAGTATTATTGTATACATGTTCTTCGTAGGTTATAACAAAAACTTGGGACACCAGAGGGACACCATGTGCCTAAGGCCTGTAGTTCCTGAGAATTAAGGCCCACATTAGCATATCTACCACTATACTGTCATAATAAAAAAATACAGACACAGTTTTGTAAATGGGAAATGACATGAAACACTGGTACTTGAAAGCTCAAATAATGATTATTTAATCTTACCTAAGAAAAACTTAGGAAAAAGCCTACCACTTAGAAAATTACTACCACACCTATGAAGTTATTTTCATTGATAGACACATTTTTGTTAATTGCAATGCTATACAGACTGTAAACGTGGCAATCTTTGGCATAACTGGCTCAAAAGAAATCATATGACTAACCTCAGAATGTTGGAATAAATTACTTCTCTCATTCACACAGAATTCTTACAATTTCTTTTGATGAAAGAAACCC